TTTAAAGTACAGGGTCTACAGGGTCTCACTATGTAGATTGGACTCATAGTGATTCTCCTGTTTATAGCCTCCCAAGTGGCTGGGATTACAGGTATGTGCCATAACGCCCAGTCTCAACCACTATCTCAGTGTGCCCCAGGGGCAGGGCTACCACAGCACGCCAGGAATTCAACCCCAGTCGCTGCACTCTGCCTAAGCAGGTGCTTTAGTCTGCTGAGCTATCTGGCCAGTCTTTTTTTTTTTAAACTCATTTATTGCTATTTATTTAGGTACTGGGATTGCAACTGAGAGACTATTTTGATAAAGGGTCTTGGAGATTTGATACCAGGACGTCAGACTTGTGATCTTTGTCTTAGCCTCCTAGATTGCTGGCATTATAGGCACTCCTACGTGGCTCATTTTATTTTGTATTTGATTTTCAATATTCGAGATCAAACCCAAGGAGCAGTGAGCTGTATCCTCAGCTTGTAGCATGGCAAAATTTAGTGTTATACAAATGAGTATTTGTGCTATAGGGATAAGATATGTCTTGCATGAATTGAAAAGCTCTATACTTCAGGTTTGGCTGGAGATGAGGGCAGATATTTTTGGGGACAAATGTTAAGCAACTGAAATAACTATAGTGATTTTTATAAAGACATGTCAAAGAGAAAGATAAGTTTAAAACTTACTAATGCTTTGTGGGATAGGAAAAGTTCAAATTTTAATTCAGCCTTTTTGAATTCACACTAGTCTTCAGGTGTGCTTTTTGATATAAATAACATGGATTCGTCTTGTTTATTATTTTAATTTTATTGAGAAACAAATATGAATGAGACAGTTTCAAAGCTGATTAATAGGACAGTTTCGATAATCAATACATTGTACATTGTTATCTTGTTAGTGGTTATTCATAGTACAAGAAGGAGACAGGATATCCTGTCCAAACACTATTCGTACACCTTTTCCTTCTCATTGAATTAAGCAAAGGTAGCTGCATAGCTATTCTTTTGTATATAAATACATAATGATCTTTCTTTTGTATCCCCCTTTTTTTTGTTTAGTCCTGTCAGGTGGGTATTCTATTGGCATCTAAATACTATAGGTGCTTGAATTCAGCAAAACAATCCAACACTGTCTGGTAGTTTATGTTATTAGTAGGTTATCCTCAGAAGTTATTGACTTGAGCCTTTTACAGCTTATCGTATTAATAAGGTTTTACTTTATATACCTCGTTTTTATACTTTTCTGCTGGACGGTTAAGACCAAGGTAAAGCAAGACCTATTTAACAATAAATGTAACTTTTGTATCTGATAAGGTCAGTCAGGTACCCTGAGGATTTATCCTGTAGCCCTGTACCGCACTTTGTAGATCCTTTGTCAGTGTCAGCCATGAGGATGAGTCATGGCCATTGCTTGATCAGTTTGCTCTCTGTGAAAGCCTGAAAGAGTGTTTTCTCTCCATGTGACTCTCCCCACGCACACTATACATCATCGATCACATTCCTCGGTGGCTCCATAATCTCCTTGATCAGAAAATTTGGGGCACAACTGAGTTACATGATGTTACAGTACAGTTCTCCTATGTCCCAGGTCTTCATTGATCTTGAAAGGCTAGGGCCAAAATGTTGACTGACCTTGCAGCCCTTCCTTTTCTCCGATTTTGATCTGCTAACTTAGGTTGTTAGCCCTCCAGAAGAGAAGCTTATTATTAACCTGCAATATATGCAGTTTGGTTTACCCTGTCTAAATATCAAACATCTTTGGCATATTATGGAACAGGTATTTTCCATCAAATATTGATATGTTGAACTTTAAGTCCTTACAGAATATGAAGGAAAAATAATTTTATAAAAGTAGAAATAAGCATTTACATATTTTTACAAAGAAATTTAGAAATCTAACCGTATACATAATTGTAACAGGAATGGGCTTGTCTTGAACTGTGGTTGTGGAAGAAGCCATCATTTGTTTCAGTGAAAACTAAGATTGGGAGAGCAAGGTGGATCGTGTTATGTTGTTAGAAATTTAAATTCCTTCAGGTTTTTATAGTTAAGCAACACAGCAGCTAACACAGTATTGAGTTGATTGATGGAATTTTATTAATACGTAACTTATCTAGAACAGTCCTTTTTATATATGGAATAAAGACAACATGCTACTAAAATGAATGTATGAAAGAGTTTTATAATGAATTTATATCTTTTTCAGACTTCTGGGCCATTGGGAAGAAGCAGCCCATGATCTTGCTCTTGCTTGTAAACTGGATTATGATGAGGATGCAAGTGCAATGCTTAAAGAAGTTCAGCCAAGGGTATGTTCATGCAGAGAAAAAGTCATGGCTCAAGTACTTAGGCCCTGGCAGCCAGAATTTACTTAAAATAGATGGAAAGATTAAGAAATTAAAATCTAGTTACTGAGGTTTGTTCTTTTAATCTCAGTAGGATTTTATGATTTTATTACTTGTGCTGTATTAAAATAAGCTGTATTGCTTTGTTTGCAAAACTACAATGGAAATAGAACTAGAGCATCAGAAATAGAAAAGGTAGATTTCAGAAGAAAGAACTAGAAAATCTGTAACATGTGCTCACTTAGGTCATATACTAAAACTGGAAAACCTACAAAATGTAGCCTAGATTATATCTGGTTTGTCTTTCTGTACCATAGGTATATACAGTACAATTACTTTATTTTTTTTATATATTTTTTAAACATTTATTTATTTAGTGTGTGTGTGTGTGTGTGGCCAGCTCAGCCCACCAGGGGGCGAGGCTGGCTGGCATGTGGTGCTGGGGGATCGAACTGTGGTCCCTGTGCTTTGCCAAGCTTGTTCCATGTAGGTGCTTTAGACCACTGAGCCATCTCGCCAGCCCCTACAATTACTTCAACAAAGCACAAAGATCTTAGAGTTAAAAAGATACAGGAATGTCTATAATCCCAGGACTTGGGAGGTTGAGGCAGGAGGATCACTGAGAGTTCAAGGCTAGCCTGGGCTGCATACTGAACACAAGGCCAGTCTAAACTACAGAGAGAGACTCGTCTCCAAAAAACTAAATAAAATAAAAAAAATTTTCCTGCAGTTAAGATGCTAGTTGTTATCCTTGAATTAGGACAGTTGTCTGAGAGTATAACATTTCTTTTTAAAAAAATATTTTAAACAAAAATTAGTAATAAAAATCAGCATTAGAAACAATATAGGCTGGAGAGATAGCTTGACAGTCTAAGCGCCTGTTTGGCAAGTACAAGGACCTCGGTTCAATCCCTGGTACCACATGCCACCCTGGCTCCAGAACCCTGGGTGGGCCAAGCCAGTCCTGAATCCGGGCATGGTGGCACACACCTGTAATTCCTGCACTGGGGAGGCCGAGACAGAATTATGATGAGTCTGAGCTGTGTAGCAAGACCCTGTATCAAATAAATAAAAGAAAAAAATAAATGATATAAAATTTCACTAAACGAAATAATAGTAATTCAATAATGGTTGCTGTATTGCACAATGCTTTCAAATTAGTTATTTAGGTTATCAGAAATAAGTGTGCAAAATTGGTTTAAAAATACACCAACAAAAATTAAGAATAAATTTTTTTTTAAAGCATTAACTGCTCCTTTCTTTTTTTTTTTGGCGGAACTGGGGATTGAACTCAGGCCCTTGTGCTTGCCAGGGGAGTGCTTATTCCACTGGACCATCTCCCCGGCCCTAAAGTTTAGAAGGATTTTTTTTTTTTTTTTGGCCTGTTTTAGGCTGCCTTAATGGCGGGTATGGTGTGGCTTGGGCTGGGGATCAAACCGAGGTACCACAAGTCTGACTGGGTTTGCCCAGGCAGGCGCTTAAACAACTGAGCTAACCAGCAAGCTCAACTGCTCCTTTCAAAAGACCAGCAGAAATCAGCAGTTCAGATATCCAAATTATTGTTTGTGCATATGTACATAAATATCTTTTCCCCATCTTTCTAAGTGTACATCACTTTTTTTTCTGTTTCACAGGATCTTGTGCATTTAATAGTGGTCTTGTTAAGGCCTGAGTTTGTGTTAGGTATTTTTTTTATTCAAATCTGTCATTTTTATAAAATAGCTATACACTGAATAAACTGCACGAAGAAAAGTAATTCTTAACTTGGATTGACTAATTCAGGACTGTATTTGGAATGACTTACGGACTGTGGCTCTTTTCTAGGCGCAGAAAATTGCTGAACATCGGAGAAAGTATGAGCGAAAACGTGAAGAACGAGAGATCAAAGAAAGAATAGAAAGGGTTAAGAAGGCTCGAGAAGAGCATGAAAAAGCCCAGAGGGTAATATCTCTTCTCCCCTCTCTTCTCTTCCCCTCTCTTCTGCTCTATTTGCAGTCCTGGAGATTGAACTCAGCATTTAATTAAGCATTCTGCTGCATTTCTAGCCCACCAGAAACAACTGTGTCTATAGCTTACCTATGAAAGAGTGCTAAAGTAGATCCGAGCTTTAGGATATAATTTTAATTCATTGGTTCTTTATTTAATACTGTTTTTAATTCTATAGGCTGATACTATCTAAAAGGAATCATATGTGTTTTATTTGTCGAAATACTTTGTCTTTAAATTCCGTTTTAATGTTTCCCTAAAATGGGAGAGGATAGAACTTGATAGTAGAGTACTTACCTAGCATGTAGGGGGCCCTAGGTTTTATCCCTAGCACTAAAAATAAATTATATTTTATTTTATTTTTTTGCAAAACTGGGGATTGAACTCAGGCCCTTGTGCTTGCCAGGGAAGCGCTTATTCCACTGAGCCATCTCCCCAGCCCCTTAAAAATAAATTTTAAATCATCACTTCAAATACTTGAAGTTAGATAGTATTGTTAGGTGTTTTTGTTTGTTTGTTTTTTGAGGATGTTTGCTTAGATTTGTTTAGGATTCCTTGTTACAATAGGGGATTCATGTCTGTTAGTGAAAATGTTGAGCCTGGTGATTGGGCTGAGCATAGTGGTGCTCACCTGTAATCCCAGATCTCGGGAGGCTATGGCAGGAGGATCAGTGGGAGTTGGAGGCCAGCTTGGCTATGTAATGAGACCATGTCAACAAAGAAAGGTGGGAAGAATAAAGAGATGGCAGAAGGGAAGAAGGAAGAGGGGAAAGGGAAGGAGAAATTTTTTAAAGGGGGTATATAGGCTGTATCCTTTAGTTGGATATACTTTCTCAATAATCTGGATAGGTTAGGAATAGGCGCAGTCTTCCTTGCACCCACGTTATGTAACTTACTTTCCTTTTGTTTTAAAGGAAGAAGAAGCCAGAAGACAATCAGGAGCTCAGTATGGCTCTTTTCCAGGTATATTTGAAGGGAAAGTAAGACTGTTAGTACTTTTTTTTTTTTTTTTTGCGGGACTGGGGATTGAACTCAGATCTTTGCGTTTGCCAGTCAAGCGCTGATCCTACTGAGCCATCTCCCCAGCCCCTGTTAGTACTTTAAATAGTTAAGATATATTCTGATTTTGGAGGCTCAGATGTATGTTTTTATCTGTGTGTATAACATACCAGTTGATTTATGTATTACTAAATATATTTAATTCCTTTGTCCCTGGAAGACTGAGAATGTTAGCATTTATAATTTTATACTAAAATTTTTATGTTAATGAAAATGCAGTGCATTTTTCTTCACAATTTGAGAGGTATATGTTTATTTTTGGTACTGGGGATTGAACTCACGACCTTGCACTTGCCAGGCAGGAGCTTATATTGCTGAGCTATTTCCCTAGCCCTAGAGAGGTGTACGTTTTAGGTAAAATTTTTTTTTTGGCAGAACTGGGGATTGAACTCAGATACTTGCGCTTGCCAGGAAAGCACTTATTCTACTGAGCCATCTCCCCAGCCCAAGAGGTGTATGTTTTAAATAGTTTCCATTTTGTTATTTTGTTAGGATGTTACCTATTTCAGAATTGCCATTATTGACTTATGTTCTATTAAACAGTGATACTCATGAGGACACTATGTAAAATACACCATATGGAGACTATGCAATTATCGAGCATAAAAAAATGTAACTTTCTGCTGGGCATGGTGGTGCATGTATGTAATCCTAGCACTCATTAAGGCAGGATTGTTTTGAGTTTGAGGCCAGCCTGGGTCTGCACTACATTGTACTACATAGTGAGACCCTGTCTCACACATACACATACACACTTACAAAACAATGAGACCCTATCTCACATACATACACACACCCAAAAAACTCCACATTGTTAAATTGGGCATGGTGGTGTAGGCCTGTAATCTTAGGATTTGGGAGGCTGATGCAACAGGATTCCCTTGAGTTGGAGGCCGGGCTGCCCTACACAGAGAGTGCAAGGCCAGCCTGAATTACAGAACATAGACTCTGTCTCAAAAAACCAATAAATATGGGGTGGGAGAGATGGATCAGTAGAATAAGTGCTTCCCTGGCAAGCGCAAGGGCCTGAGTTTAATCCCTGCTTCTGCAAAAAAAAAAACTAAAACTAAACCAATAAATAAATAAAACATTCTTGTCTTCCTTGCAAATGTTAGGATCAGAAATTTTTAGCAAGATGACCGGGTGTGGTGGTGTATGCCTGTAATCCTGGCACTTGTGAGGGAGGTGAGACAGGAGGATCATTGCAAGTTTGAGACCAGCCTGAACTGCATAGTGAGACCCTGTCTCAAAAGGACTTGAAAAAAAAAAATTATTTGGATAATATTCAATAACGGAACTTAGAACAAATGGGGTATACCGATGAGTGTCCATTTTGTATCTGTGTATTCAAAGTGGTTAGGATAGATATATAGTTGCATTCTCTTAATGAATAGAA